CTGCTGCTCTACTAACGCGGTGGGACTGTAGGCACGTTGAAATAATTAGAAGCAAGGAGATGTGCTTGGAGGGTGATGATAAGAAAGAAGGGCATTCATGCAAAAGCATTTCTCTCTGAAATTCCCCTCAGAACACCCCTTAGTTTCTAATCACTAATACGGAAGGCTTACATTTGAAGCTCTTAAGCCCTAAGGGGTAGTCTTCTCTCAACATCTTTTCAGTATTTGTAAAGCAGCCAGAAGAGAGAATAATCTTCCCTTTGGAAAGCAGGTGTCTATGGCTTACGAGTGTTCATTCTTTAATCTAGCCCGCATATCACATTTGATTCTACTTAAAATCCTCTTGAAAATTCAGGCTTCCATTCTTTCCCTTTCAGAGATCATCTAATCCCAGTATTTTAGAAAAGGGTGGATGCTAGCCAAGAACAACATTACCACACATTAAATCCAAGATTTCCGAGTTGAAAGATATTTACCAATAACACTAAAAAATGTCGCAGCTTTTTTATTTCTGAAAGGAGATGTCTTCCTCAATCTGAAATCACCATTCCTCTGACTCTAAAGGCTGCAAAAAATAAAATGCAGCGATGGGGTGGACACCGCTTGAGCATCAGTGCAATGTTCCATGTGGCTCATAGTGCGAATCCTGGCATCTCTAAAAAAAATATGTGGACCAGAAAAGCCACATGTTCTCAATACTAAAACCACAAAACTTTCTGCCTAGGCTTCAGCAGTTAGATGCTGGCACATTTCTGGGCCATTTAAAAGACTTAATTATGGTTGGAAAAAATGCTAGGTTGTAAGAACTGACCCAAACGCATTTAAGGGAGTCACAAGACTGGGACAGCTGGAGATGCTTTTGGATTCAAGAGCTAGGTAAAATGCCAGCAGGCAAAGGGCATGCTGTCTACTTCTGGATGAGGGAAGGAACCTATAAATCACGGAATAAGCCCTCGAAAGCCTCGAGTTGAACTCAGAAGCAGCTGTTGCTAAGATATTGCTAAACTCTAAAAGCAGGTTGTTTTTTTTTTTAATATGAAAAAGGAAGTCTGAATTAAGTGATTTATATTAGAGTAATATGATTTTCTCCTTATGTGAAACAATATTGAAATACACAGGATGGTACTGATGTAGTCCTAGGAGGGAGATTTTATAAAAGGAGCTCTGTTTTATTCTAAGATGAGTTAGATAACCCTGGCATTAAGAACTTGTAAAGAAAGAACTGTGGTTGCCCTGTCTTGTCTTAGCCTATCCATGCAGCTTCCTTTAGGGCATTTCTTTTCAATACAACCCTCTGGAGCCCAAAGCCTGGGCATTTGTTCTGAGCTGTCTGCCTAGCAAACCACCCATGATTATGTTCCTTAAATAAGGTCACCCCTCAAACTGAGAAGAACAGGGTCTTGGAACCAATCAAATTTAGCCTGTAGGGTACTGAAAAGCAATGGGACCATTCGGAGGGCTCATTTTTGCTTGCCAGGTAGTAGTTGCTGTGGTTTATAATAATAGCCCTCATTTAGCTAGCTGCTATTATCTGCCAAGTACTACTCTAAGTATTCTAATGTAGTAATTCAGTTACTTTTCACCACAACCTTTTGAGGTAAGAAGTATGATTACTCTCATTTTACAGATGGGGAAACTGAGACCCACATAGTTATTGGGTTAAAACAAAAAAAGCCATATTGAAATACTGAATATCTGGCCCGAGCCTTTTTTTTTTTTTTTTTTTTGCGGTACACGGGCCTCTCACTGTTGTGGCCTCTCCTGCTGCGGAGCACAGGCTCCGGACGCGCAGGCTCAGCGGCCATGGCTCACGGGCCCAGCCGCTCCACGGCATGTGGGATCTTCCCGGACCGGGGCACGAACCCGTGTCCCCTGCGTCGGCAGGCAGACTCTCAACCACTGCGCCACCAGGGAAGCCCTCCTGAGCCTTTTTTAAATCACTGCCCTCTACTCCACTTGACTGCTCTAGCAAACCTCTTTATCCTAATGATACTCATTCCCAAGAAAATGTAAACCTCCTCTTGGCCATGCAAAGTTCCTTCTACTTGACCTCTGATCGTTTGCACAAAGCAAGGTAAAGATAGGTGCCCACTTAGAAGATCTAAATATACACTTCTCCAAAAAAAGACATACAGATGGCTGAATAGCACATAAAAAGGCTCAACATCACTGATTATTAGAGAAATGCAAATCAAGACTACAATAAGGTATCACCTCACACCTGTCAGAATGGCCATCATCAAGAAGTCTACTAATAATAAGTGCTGGAGAGGGTGTGGAGAAAAGGGAACCCTCCCAGAGTGTTATTGGGAATGTAAATTGGTTCAACCACTATGGAGAACAGTATGGAGGTTTCTTCAAAAACTAAAAATAGAGCTACCATATGATCCAGCAATCCCACTCCTTGGCATATATCCAGATAAAACCATAATTCAAAAAGATACATGCACTCCAATGTTCATTGCAGCACTATTTACAATAGCAAGGACATGGAAGCAACCTAAATGTCCATCGACAGAAGAATGGATAAAGAGGATGTGGTACATATATATAATGGAATATTACTCAGCCATAAAAAAGAATGAAATAATGCCATTTGCAGCAACATGGATGGACCTAGAGATTATCATACTAAGAGAAGTCAGACAGAGAAAGACAAATATTATATGATATAACTCATATGTGGAATCTAATTTTTTTAAATGATATAAATGAACCTATTTACAAAATAGAAAGACTCACAGATTTCGAAAACAAACTTATGGTTACCAAAGGGGAAACATGCAGGGGGGAAGGGATAAATTAGGAGCTTGAGATTAACATACACACACTACTATATATAAAATAGATAACCAACAAGGACTTACTGTATAGCACAGGGAACTCTACTTAACATTCTATAATAACCTATATGGGAAAAGAATCTAAAAAAGAATGAATATATGTATATGTATAATTGAATCACTTCGCTGTACACCTGAAACTAACACAACAGTGTAAATCAACTATACTCGAATAAAATTAAAAAAAAAAAGATAGGTGTCCACTAAAAACAGATGCTACAGGTCACAGCAGATGGTGGTTTTGTCGAGAAAACAATTCTATAAAAGATGCTCATGGGTAAATGAGGTGAAAATCTAACCAGTGAACTTCATGTTTTTAATTTTTTCAGAAATGCAACTTCATGTCTGGCTCCATTACTGTCCAGAGCTCTTCAGAGCAGCCTGGATCCCATCCAGCAAGCTGTTTCCACAGTAGAAAGAGGATTCCCCACATCTCAGTTTGTTCCTGTCTTAGGAAGTTCTGTTTCTAGACAGTGATTTTCATGCCTTCTATGGTGAAAGACTAGGTAGGGCTAGTGCCGTTATGTTTTAATCTCAGTCCCTGACGACCAATATTTTTATAAAATACAGTAAAACAAAATCGCCAGAAAATACAGTCATATGCTTGGATGTTCCAGCAATGTCAGATTGCTGTAAACGTTTCTAAGCTTAATCTTAATACCTGAACTTATCTTGTAAGAGACTGAGCCACACTCTGAGTTTCCTTACTCTAGAACATTTCTTGCAACTCAGAATTCAGGACATGGTTTTAGATTTTTACATGTAGGTTCCAGAAAAGCCTGGAATCCTGATTGGCCTTTCACAAATAGAGACATGTGAGACCTCCCTCCCCTGACAACAAAATTCAGGGCAATGTCATTGCTACGTCTCCATATTTCTGAGCAGAGTTGAAAGTCAATCCTTATGAAATATTTGACAGGGGGTTTTACTTTCTAAGAGTTCAAAAGCTTTTTATTGGGAATATTTGGTAGATTTGATTATACTTAGAAAATAAAGAAATACTTCACTTAACCTCAATTGGAAAAGTAACTTTAATTCCCCTTGCTTTATATATATTAAAGCCTGACTTTGGTTTACAATATACCTATATTATTCTCTAACGTCAATACTCTAGCTTATCATTTCCTCAGGTAAATTTAATCAGCTTTTATGGTTAAGGAAAATTTGGAAAGATGGTAAGAGGCATTTCTCTTATCCAGACATTTCCTTTCTCACTTTTGTAATATGTTTTAGCCATCTGTCTTTCCCTGCCTGCATCATTATTTTAAGATATTCATTTGGTTGAACCTGTCTACAAAACAGAAACAGAGTCACAGACATTGAGAACAGAATGGTGGTTGCCAAGGGGAAGGGGCTGGGGGAGGGGTCGAGTGGGGGATTGGGGTTAGCAGGTGAAGCTATTATATATATAATGGATAAACAACAAGGTCCTACTGTATAGCACTGGGAAGATAAATCATAATGGATAAGAATATTTTTTAAAAGAATGTATATATAATATATATATGTATAACTGAATCACTTTGCTGTACAGCAGAAATTAACACATTGTAAATCAATTATACTTCAATAAAAAAACAAAAAAAAAGAAAATATTTAAGATATGCATTTGCTGTGTGGGAGTGAATATAGATCTTCAAGTTCCTGACCTATGTTGGTTCTATAATCTAAATCTAGATGCATGCACTTTCTGTCTTCAGTAATAATAATACGTTACATTTACATAGTAGTAACATTTCATAAAACACTGAGATATAAATTCTCAATTACTCCTCAGCTGAGTCCCTGAAAATATGCCTGTAAATTAAGAGTGAACAAATCCAATTTCATTGGAATTCACTACAGGGGCTTGAGAGTTAAAGAATTCTAAAGTACTTTCTTCTGTGTAGCAAAAATATTTCTGCACAGTAAATAATCACCATCAAAGTTATCAATATTTTTCATTTTTATTAAGGATTTGTTTAACTGGGGCACATGTGTGTTGAAGACTTTTGATCTTTTCTCCTTCATCTAGGTGTCCAAGTTTGTTTCAAAATAAACAGTGTGAAATGAAAGAAACTAGCATAGGGAAAATTATCTAGAGATAATCCAAAGTAAATATTATTATTATTTTACCTTGCATAGCTTGTACGTGCATGCACAAGATTAAACTGTAACTCATTCCAAATTAGCAGGAATAATTTAGCAAGAAGCTTAATGTGTTTCTTGGTAAGAGTAGAAACAAAAACCAAAACAAAACTCTCACTCTGGGAAGTTTTTATGGGTTTCATTTTAGGGACTAAGTTAAAATATGAGGGCAATAACAGAGAAAATAAAACATCCAAATTAGATCTTTAGTTACCACGGCTAAGCACAATTTTAATTTTTTTGAATTTTCCAATCATGGATTATTTGAAATCTATGATCCGAGTGAATTTATAATTCAACCTATTTTGTTCAAGTGTCCACTAATTTTCCAAAAGTACTCCCAGACCGATTTCATGGACCTTCTGCTTATTCACAGTGGACGTGGTTACTGTCCATTGTTATCATTGTGTTCTACAATGATTCATCCATCAGCTTGAAATTAAGTACTTTCCTGAGAGACTCTTGAGCTCAAACCATTGTTTATGTATTGATATCATACAGATACAAATAATTTGCCACCAAAGGCTTTATAAATAAGGAAAAGGAAGAAAGGATAATAATGCTATTCATTTTTTCTTTTTTTTTTTAAATATGGACTGCTTCACGAATTTGCGTGTCATCCTTGCACAGGGGCCATGCTAATCTTCTCTGTATCGTTTCAATTTTAGTATATGTGCTGCTGAAGCGAGCACAATAATGCTATTCTTGAACAATAATGTATGTGGAGATTTCTTTCCTAGAGTGTCACAAATATAATGCAGCAGAAGGAAAGAAATGCAACTAATGAAGCTAAATAAAGCATATTTCATAACTAAAAGGAAAAATTTCTCTTGGATACAAACCAGAGTTATTGGGTTTGATGGGAAGTATGCCTAGGAAACAATTTTCAGGTTCTAGAGTAAAAGGAATGGTATGGTGTAAATAAAGAAAACATGGGAAGGCCACGATTAAGAGTGTACCCAAGTTTTCCAAAAACACTAATTCAAAAAGATACATGCACCAGAATGTTGACAGCAGCACTACCTACAATTGCCAAGATATGGAAACAATCTAAGCATCCATCAACAAATGAATGGATAAATAAAATGTGGTACATATACACAATGGAATAGTACTCAGCTATAAAAAAGAATGAAATCTTGCCATTTGTGACAGCTTGGATGGACTTGGAGGGCATTATGCTAAGTGAAATAAGTCAGACAAAGAAAGACAGATACTGTATGATATCACTTATATGTGGAATCTAAAAAATACAACAAACTAGTGAATAAAACAAAAAAGAAGCAGACTCACAGATATGGAGAACAAACTGGTACTTACCAGTGGGGACAGGTGGGGAGGTGGGGAGTTAGAGGCACAAACTATTGGGTGTAAGATAGGCTCAAAGATATATTATACCAAGTGGGGAATATAGTCAATATTTTAATAGCTGTAAATGGAAACTAACCTTTAAAAACTGTATAAATTTTTTTTAATTTAAAAAATAAAAATACTTTATTTCTTAATAAAAAAGAGTCTACCCAGGTTTTCAATAGAGAAAAACAAATATAGATGAAACAACTTAAAGAAAACAACACATAAAAATCTAAATCCCACAGGGAGACACTCATGATTAAGAATACATTAGAAATGACTATAAATCTGCTCAAAGAGAGTCAATGTCAGTGAAAAATACAACTATTTGTTAATGGATAGCATTTCATTAGGAACACTTCAACTGCATAAAGAAGACCTTTGAGTTATGCTTCATTTAAAAACTTTTAATCAGATTCCCAAGGGCAAAAATGTTATATATGTGTATATATAGAGAGAGAATTTTATATATTGGACTTCCCTGGTGCTGCAGGGAAGTGGTTAAGAATCCGCCTGCCAATGCAGGGGAAACGGGTGCAATCCCTGGTCCGGGAAGACCCCACATGCCACGGAGCAACTAAGCCCAAGTGCCACAACTACTGAGCCTGCGCTCTAGAGCCCACGAGCCACAACTACTGAGCCCGTATGCCTACAGCCCGTGCTCCACAACAAGAGAAGCCACCACAATGAGAAGCCCTGTGCACTGCAACAAAGAGTAGCCCCTGCTCACCGCAACTAGAGAAAGCCCGCGTGCAGCAGCGAAGATGCAACACAACCAAAATGAATAAATAAATAAAAGAAGTTTATATATTAAAAATTTACATATCAAAAGTATACACACACTCACACACACACACACACACACACACACACACACACAGACAAGTGTATAATGGACTATTTATGACCCAATTTTTGTGCTCTAACAAGTTGTCGAGGCAACAGAAGCAAAGCAGTAAAGAAGGTTCAGATGCTTTATCAATTTAAAGCAGGTTGTATGCAGAGCACGTTTCGGAGACAGAAAGTCATCAGGAGACCAGTTGTTAAGTTCGGATCAAGCAAAAACATTAGTTTCCAGAGAAATGAAGAAATGGGCAGTAAAGCTTGCATTAATCTCGGGAAATAGTCTCGTTAGCCTGGTTAGTCAGGAAACTTGGGGAGTTGCTAGTCAGCTGTATTTATACAGACCGTTCCTACCACTTCTTTGGCAGGGTCCCCTTGAGCAGTCAGGTAGGTCACCCTGAACTGCTGCACACTGCTGTCTGAAATGTCCCATTTTACCCGCAGGCTAGAAGTGGTTTCATCATCTACAACCAGGTTTCTGACTCCTGTGCGGAAAACTGGAATAAACACAACCAAGTATTTAAGGAACTTTTCATCCATCATATTTCAAAATGAGCTACAGAGATGATTTGTGGACATGACAACAAGTATCATTTAATGTATCTCTACCATGTAGACTCAGGTGAAGCGAGAACAACTCAGCTTTAGTTAATAGAGAGCCATGATACCTACTGGTAGCAAACAAAAATGGGCTTAAGAGATCTCAAGGTGAGATCGTGGATCCCTCAAACCACCAGCTCTGTATATATACTAGGAAGGGGAACTGGGGAGCAGCCCTTAGACTAGGAAACCAGAAGGGGAGCCCAAAGAGGAGCACGACTGTGAGAACTTCACATTAGGGCTGAGCTGGAGAAGTGGGCGTGAGGGACCAAATGTGGTCAACCTCGGCGTGCAATCTAGCATCCAACACACATCCCATCACCTGCTCCCCCATTTCTGTTTTAACACTTGTCACTCAAAGCAGAAATCTCCCACCAGGGCTGCCTCTATCCACTCAGGCCACATGGATTTCATCCTTTCTCTGAGATCTGTCCACACTCCTTCACTCGTTTTCTCTGACACGCTCCTTTTCATCTCCCAAAGTGACTGCTCTCTCATTTGTCCCATTGTTTCTTCTCCCTCTTGTGCCAACTTCCTTTCATTCTGTCCATCTACATGGACTCTTTCTTCTCTTCATTCATTTATTCATTCATTCCGCAAACGTTCATTGAGCTTTTCCTGTATGTCAGACTGGTTAGGCCTTTAAGACATACAATGATCTACAGTTGACAAAAATAGTGAAAGTGTCACAGAGGAGACAGGAGAGTGACACTTATCAGGCAAAACTTTACCTAATAGGCTGTAGGTACAGAATGCAACATCTCACCTTCAGGGTTAGGAGTTCTAGATGGCAGGAGGATATGGAAAAATCATGAAACATATGGTTGAGGCCAGGAAGGGAAGCAGAACCCAGTCAGGAAGCATCTTGTATGTTATGATTAAGAGATGTGGGGTCATAAAGAAGGGTTCAGTAAAGGTTAACTGAAGAATGAATGAATCAGTGAACGAATGAATAAATGAATGGTATTGGAGATTCACTGAAAGGTTTTAGGTCAAGAAATAAATATCAACAAACTTGCTTAATCTAGTTGACTGTGACAACTAGTTGGGAGGTATATTATAATGGAGGGGAGAGTTAAGCTGAGAGAGAAAATAGCTGATGTAGGAACACCAGTACACCAGCCACAGTTACCCACAGAAATGCATGGAAACTATGATATGAATAATTCTCAACAGAAAGCAATAGGAGAAGGCACTGAGACCAAGAGTAGGGCAGAGACTCCTCGGGCTGGATACTAACGTTCTCTAAAAGATTAGATGGGAATTCAAAACGAAGGTGGGAAAAATAGAGAGTACCACAGTGATACTGATTAGTAGACGAGAAGACCATTTAGCATTTAGGGATAAGAAGAGGTTGAGAGCTCTGAGGGGAGTGAAATTTGAACTGGTATGCCCTGTTCCTAATCAATCATATAAATCAAATAAAACTGGGATAATATAACTTCTGTTTAAATCAAACTTTTCTTACGGGTAAAACTGGAATAATATAACTTCTGTTTAAATCAAACTTTTCTTACGGGTAAACAGGAAGTGAGTTCTATTTGTCCTTACCTGATGTCACAGGCCTGGTAGGTGCTTCGGTCGTAGGCGGTTCTGTCCAAACACTGTCAACTAAAAAAATATTCCTCACTTTAAAATTCTGTAATGATGATAACTCTATACATTTGTGTATAGCATTTTATAGTTTTCAAAGAAAATTCACCTATATTATGTCACTTGTTTCTCACAACAACCTTGACCATGGTTGCAAGAGAGAAGTGAGTTGTAAGGCAGACATTGTATCTATTCCACAGATAAGGAAACAAACCCAAAGAAGTTAGTTTCAAATCACAGATACCAGCCTTCATATAAACACTTGAATTACATCTATAAAATTGTGAAACCTCCCAGTCACTTTGAAATGGGGCATAACCATGGTGAGGAAAAGAAATTAAACAGTGCTATAGATCAAGTTGTAAAGGGGCTGCCAAATAGGACCAGCAAGGAAGACAATAAGAAGTGCATCTGCAGGCTTCCCTGGTGGCGCAGTGGTTGAGAGTCCACCTGCCGATGCAGGGGATGCGGGTTCGTGCCCCAGTCCGGGAGGATCCCACATGCCGCGAAGTGGCTGGGCCCGTGAGCCATGGCCACTGAGCCTGCGTGTCCGGAGCCTGTGCTCCACAACAGGAGAGGCCACAGCAGTGAGAGGCCCGCGTACCACAAAAAAAAAAAAAAAAAAAGAAAAGAAGTGCATCTCCTATTTCTTGTATCCACCCTGGGCAACCAGTGGATGCAGCTGCTGTGTGGTGATCTGCCTAGATGCCCTCTTCATCAACATACTCATCCAGCAGCTTCTGGAGTACAGCTGCCAATGGCTCAGAGCTCTGGTAACTGCCTTGCCTGGGGTTGCAGACTCTGTCAGGGGATTGCCTGCCTCCAGTCACTGGGGATGCAGGGATAGAAAGGCCCAGCCCCTTTGACTCAACTTGGGACCACTCAGAAGGGTCATACCAGGTCCAGAATTTCAAATAGAATTAGCTGAGGGCTCTGTTTTAGCTTCTCCCTAAGTCCTATTTCCTTATAGATGTATCTCCCAACTACACTCTTCAATAAACCTTCTGGATGCAATTTTCTACTTCAGAATCTGGTTCCAGGGAACCCAATCAAAGACAATTTAATATGTGGTTAATACTTCATACTTAAAAAATGAAGGGACAAATGAATCAGCAAGTGAATTTTGTGGATTCTTGGAACCAAGATCAACTTGGGAAATTCCAGAAACTCTTGGACATTTTTGCCCTACATTTATTTGTTTGCTCATTTATAACTTATTTCATCCATCCATCCATCCATCCATCCATCCATTCCTCCATTCAACAAATATTCATTGCACAGTTAAAATATGCCAAGAACTGTGCTAAGCGTTGGGGACATAATGGTGAACAAGACAGATATGGTCCCTGCCTTTAGGTGATGATAGACTAGGAGTCTAATAAGGTGCTCCACACATTGCGAAATTAAAGGTAAAGATGTATGAAGAGTTCTAGGGACAAAGCCTCTGTAGCCAGGAATAAGGCTGATGTGCAGGGAACCTGGTGGCGTGAAGACTGTGTCAGAATAAATGGTCGGAGCTTGTGAAGTCCATCTTGGCCTGACCAAGACTTACGTGTGGTCCCAACGGCAGTCACCACCTCAGTCTCACTTCCACCATCCAGTACAGCCAACAGGGAAACTTCATATTCAGTGCCAGGTTCCAGGCCTTCAATAACATATGAGTCTTGGTCTTCTTTTAGGACAACCTGAAAAGTATTTGGTGCTTAGTAACTGGGTTTACTTGAATAACACAGGAAAAAGTTAAGAAAAACTAATAAAATGGAAAGATGTTATCCCGAGTGTAAGCAATAAGTGACTAAGCATAAACAACTCCAGGGCCGTTGAATTCAATTTTTAAGTCAAACCAGAGACGTTTTTCTTTTCAAATCTCTCAGCAAATAAATGATTAATATTTCAAAAGGGGCCTTTTTTGAAGTTTTTAAAAATTTCTTTTATGACTATCAAAGAATCTGGAAATACATAACATATATAACTAAAGCCCTAGCAAAAATGCATTTTAATTTTACAAAAGTCATATGATTTGACATTTGTAAAACTCCAGGTCATGGAAAATATTAATTACTTTTGGGATTCTCAATCTGTCTTAAAACAAAGACCAACTCAAATGCAGCAGTGGGCATTCACTTCCAGATAAAATGCCCTGGATTAATTTTCAGCCTCAGACAACTCACTTCCTCAGTCTTCCCACCATAGACTGGAATCCACATCAACTTGTGTTGCCCTTCATCAACTGAGAGGGGATGCCAGGTCACTCTAAAACTATCTGTTGTCACCTCATCAATTTCCAAGTATTGCTGGGCTGGAACTTCCTCTGTAAGCCAAGGAGAGAGATTTTGTTAGGGAACTGAGAAGGTAAGAAAACCATAACTCAAGCAGCTCCCCGGGGCCACAGGTAGAGAAGACTCTCTGGTGAATCTCTTGTTTTAGGAAAGCACATGGAAGCAGGGAAAGCAGTGCCAATTAGTCCAGTGTGGGCTTATGTTTCTGTTTCCAGCATTTACCCACAGTATAAGTTAGGAAGACCAGGGACACAGCAGATTTTTACAGTTTTCCAGGAATTTCCAGAACTCTTAGATTCTCTATTTGGCCCTTTTCATTAACTATAAAAAATAAGACTGCGATATTCATTACTTTACAAAGATACTATTTTCCCAGTATTTTGAAGAAATTAACAAAATGATGCCCTAGAGGCCTGAGAAATGTCACTTTTAGGTTTATTCACTTTCGTGCCTAAATCACTCTCTAGTAATAAGTTAAGTCCTAGAAAAGAACGTTCATCCTCTTAATCTTGTACATGTGGCTGCCATGAGAAGTGAAATATAATTTATCAGACACCCATTATTTCACTGCTTAAACACTCCTGGGATGTACAACAGAGACCATAACATCTAATTACACCGAAAATGAATTGTCAGTCATTGATTTTTATTATATGAAATCAGAGATTTTAAAACTCTCTGACAGGATACCATGAGAATTCCAACTACAGTTAGCCCTTGTGAGATTTTGCAAAATTACTGAACTTTTTTCTGTGAACACTATTTCTCAGTCCAGCTTATTTCTCATCTCTCTCCAAATTACCTTCTCATCTCAGTACAGCACTAAATTTGTTTCCAAGTGCAATTCATGATAGGTCCAAAAAGCAAACAATAGAATTTTTCCACCAGGAGGCAAAAAGAAGTGATATTTATTGACTACAGGGTATATATAGAAAAGAAAAATAATGCATTCATGCTTTATTTTTTATTTTAGTGTTTAAAATGGCCCATATTGTTGTATTAATATTGCAAGCTTCATGAAAATAATTATTGGCTATACGTTGATGTATTAGGTTAAATGGTATGAAACCATGATTTTTTTGTAGGTCAAAAACTGTTGGAGAGCTGTAATTTTGGAAGCTTAACTTAATATACACATATATCAGTGGAAGAAATGTGAAAATTTTATGTCAATAGAACAAAAGAAACAGTGTGAGATCAGGAAGAGAACAATGCACACTTTTCTTTAACTGAGACCTTTGAACTTAGATGGTCCTGTCCCTCTTTCCCTTGCTTTGAAAGAAGATAAGTAGCCAGTAGGCATTCTACTCACCTAATTGTTCACTGGGTAATACTATAAAGTAAACAAACATTAAAATGCAATCTCTTCAAAATCACAATTCAAGAAGCTGCTCCAGCTTCTGGTTTCCACACAGTTACTCTTGGAAACTTTTCAAACCCTAATAAGGCTTTACCTGTGGTAAAAATTCCAGTCAGAGGCTCCGACTGTCCTTCATCATAGATGGAGAAAATGGCAACAGTATACTCGGTGAGGGGTGTCAAGCCCTTCAGAGGGAACGTAGTAATAGGATCAACTTCAACCTGCAAAAGGAAGAAGTCATAACAGCTATTATATCACAGGCAGGACACTATGACATAAATCACAGCAAGGTCCTGTTTGACCCACCTCCTCGAGAAAGGGAAATACAAACAAACAAATGGGACCTAGTGAAACTTCAAAGCTTTTGCACAGCAAAGGAAACCATAAACAAGACCAAAAGACAACCCTCAGAATGGGAGAAAATATTTGCAAATGAAGCAACTGACAAAGGATTATTCTCCAAATATACAAGCAGCTCAGGCAGCTCAATATCAAGAAAACAAACAACCCAATCCATAAATGGGCAGAAGACCTAAATAGACATTTCTCCAAAGAAGATATACAGACTGCCAACAAACACATGAAAGTATGCTCAACATCACTAATCATTAGAGAAATGCAAATCAAAAATACAATGAGGTATCATCTCACACCGGTCAGAATGGCCATCATCAAAAAATCTACAAACAATAAATGCTGGAGAGGGTGTGGAGAAAAGGGAACCCTCTTGCACTGTTGGTGGGAATGTAAATTGATACAGCCACTGTGGAGAACAGTATGCAGGTTCCTTAAAAAACTACAAATAGAACTACCATATGACCCAGCAATCCCACTACTGGGCATATACCCTGAGAAAACCATAATTCAAAAAGAGTCATGTACCAAAATGTTCACTGCAGCTCTATTTACAATAGCCCAGAGATGGAAACAACCTAAGTGTCCATCATCGGATGAATGGATAAAGAAGATGTGGCACCTATAGACAATGGAATATTACTCAGCCATAAGAAGAAATGAAATTGAGCTATTTGTAATGAGGTGGATAGACCTAGAGTCTGTCATACAGAGTGAAGTAAGTCAGAAAGAGAAAGACAAATACCATATGCTAACACATATATATGGAATTTAAGAAAAAAAAATGTCATGAAGAACCTAGGGGTAAGACAGGAATAGGAAACAGAAGCCATTTTATTGTCTGCAGTTCACTTGGCTGGCAGCAGAGCTATAAGTACTGCAAAAGAGATACTAAATTATAAAACCATTTAGATATTCACATTTCTAATCTTACAACCTTAAATAGAATACCTATCAGTTAATTCTCATGACATAGTTGCAACCAATATTATTTCCATTCATTAAAGATATAGAAAGTGAGGTACACAAAATTTGCAATGCTAATACAAATAAATGTAATGTTTATAGCCGGATTTGCTAGGAGTAGCCAGTCATGCACAATAACTTCTGTAGGAGTTAAATAAACGAGCAACCATGCAGGAGAAGGTGAGCACAGTTGCTGTTAGTTTGGTTCTTCAGTGAGTCAACATTTTTTTTTTTAACATCTTTATTGGAGTATACTTGCTTTACAATGGTGTGTTAGTTTCTGCTTTATAACAAAGTGAATCAGCTATACGTATACATATATTCCCATATCTCCTCCCTCTTGCATCTCCCTCCCAGAGTCAACATGTTTTAATTGGTAAGTTTCACATAAAAAGAGAAATCCCTGGTCAGACACACCAACTTTCTTTCCATGTCTTTCCCACCTCAGGGACTTTGCCCATGCAATTCATTCTGTCTGAGACCCTATTTCCTTGGCTCTTTTCAAAATTCGGGCTTCACCGTCTGTCAGGACTGTGCTTATATTTCACCTCCTCATGGGGGTGTTCATTTTTCTACATATCTCATTAGGGTGATTCTCTATCGTTGCCTTTGTTTTCTCCCTAGCACCCATCCCAGCCTGAAATTATTTTATTTCCTAGTAGAAGATGTTTATTACTTCCTGCATAGAGTGTAAGCCCCTTGAGGTCAGGACCTCGTTTAGCTTCTTTGCTTCTGTATGTTGAATTACATATATTTTTTGAGTGAATAGAATACATAAATGAAAACTGAGATGGAAGCACCAAAGATCCAATTTACAAGAGATTTAAAAAAAAAGGGAGAGGGCTCATCTGAGCAAAGCGTTAATCCAGAAACCATAGACATCTTGAAGGAATTGACCTCAGGTCAAAAAAAAGATTGCCAGCCCTGGGGGAAGGAGTTTCCCTTTTCACGTTTCTGGAACTCTGAGCCACTCTGCTAGAGAGGACCAGCCAACCCCAGCCTTTTCAGCCACCCCAGACATGGACTGAAGTCATCTTGGAAGTTCCAGCCCAGTCAAGTTCCCAGATGAATGTAAGAGTCACCTTAGCTGAAACCACATAGAGCAGAGACAAGCTGACCCTGCTGAGCCTACCCAAGTTACATAATCATGGGCTGTTATTTTAAGCCAGGGTTTTGGTTACATAGCAATAGTTAATTGAAAATATGTATTACCTTCTTCTGAATCTAGGCCTGATAATATTATGGGTAATTCTTAGCATTTAATGTTTACTCTGGTCTGGGTATTATCTCATGCTTTACATGCATTAGTTGTACTTACATCCTTACCACAACATTGTAAGGTAGCTCATTATTACCCCTAAGTGGAAGATGGGAAAAATGAGACTCCGAAAAGTTAAGGAACTTGCCCAAGGGAAAGCCAGCTAGTTCCTAAAACTTAAACACAGTGTTTCACGCTCTAAATTCTCTGTTTGTAAATACTATTTACAGTATGGCTCCATTATTTAAACTCACAGAGAAGACAAATACTTAAAATATGAGTTCAAGATGTTCTTCTAAACTATATTTCCTGTTGCTTTCTGTTGTTTTGAATCGTAATGGCTAAGATTTACTGAGCACTTATAATGTGCCAAGGACCTTACATTCATTGTTTTATTTAGCCTCCTATCCCCCGTCAAACACTAGGTATTTATAATGACTGTTTTACAAATGAGGAACCTGAGGCACAAAGACCTTAACCAACTTTCCTGGAGATATAAAACTATTAACTGGAATGAATAGTTAGGCCTTGGTATACTTATATATAAGTGTGTATATATATATACACACACATATAAATATGTAAAAGCATATGTATTTTGAACATTATATATTGAATATATATATTAATATATATTTTTTCAACATATATATATATCTGTTGAAAAGATCTAGTTTATTAAAAACATTTTATTTGATGCTAACCAGACCATATTTTATGCATTCATTATTGATCATTTTATTTCATCAAATGAAAACTTCTAGGAATCATTTATTTTTACTTGTTATCATATTATGTTTTAGATTAAGTTCTGGAACTCATTTTATTGGTAGTACTTTTAAGATGTAAGAGAAGAATTTGGGAAAATGGTAACAAATGACTATGACTCATTGTTATGCAACGATTTTTGAGAAAAATTTTTCAGACTATCTAGCAAAAACTTCACTTCAGCCTATTCCAGGATGGATGAAGAGAATCCTTGATGAGGAATGAGGGACTTGGGCTCTGCTCTGGGCTCTGTTGTTGAGTCACTGCTGTAGGGGACTGGACTTGTCTCTCAGAGTCTAAAAACTATGGCCTTTCATTTCTAAAACTCAAATGGCAGCACTTTAGTTCTCCATCATCTTTGCACATTTCCCCAAATCTTTTCACAGTACATGCTATCTGAGATGACTTCTTTCTGCAGTTTGACAGGTCAGGCTTTGGCAACATTTTTTTCTATAAAATTTGCACAAGGTGCTCTCTGTAAAAATCTCAGAGGCTGTCTCAGGATTAGCACTCAATGTGTGTTAGCTGCCATCATCATCATCATCATCACCTCCATCATCATTATCACCACCATCATCATCACCATCACCATCATCACCATCATCCTCATCACCACAATCATCATCATCTTCATCACCATCATCACCATCATCCTCATCACCATCATCCTCATCACCACAATCATCATCATCTTCATCACCATCATCACCATAATCATCACCATCACCATAATCATCACCATCATCATTATCACCACCATCATCCTCACCATCACCATCACCACCATCACCATCATCCTCATCACCATCGCCATCATCACCATAATCATCATCAACACCATCATCATCACCACCACCATCACCATCATCATTATCACCACCATCATCATCACCATCATCATCATCCTCATCACCATCATCACCATAATCATCATCACTATCATCATTACCACCATCATCACCACCACCATCATCATCTCCATCACCATCATCATCATAATCATCACCATCACCATCATCAGTAGCAGCAGCATTTGTTTAAGTGCTCTGTTTTATTTATTGTTGGTCTCCAAAAGTTAGGGAGAGGAGTCATGCAGAAAAGACACAGAGGAGGAAGAGGAAGTGAAGGAGGGAAGATGGGAGGAAGTGAAGCAGAGAAATAGGAATTGAGTTGAAAACAAGCTTTTACAATCAATTACATGTTATGTAGTAAGTAGATTTTAGTTGGGATATTTTGAAATTCATTCCAGAATATTTTGGGAATTTCCTAAAAATCCAATTGTAGCATTATCTTTAAATAAAAGCTTAAATTAATAGAGGTAAAGCAAAATATGGTAGGAATATTCACCCTTAAAATCATATATTCCAAAACTAGGTAAAGTAATATTTGACTTATATAAGACACTCATCCAGCAACCTTTAGTCTCAATTGCATGGTTAACAATTAAGAATTAAGAACACACACACACCAGTCAAAATGGAAATGTTACAAAATCTACACATTGTTTATGCATTTTACTCAAATAAAATGTTCTCAGACTTTTATTCATGGTCTATTTACTCATATTTTAAATTCAGTTTTATCAAACATAGCTTTCTAATTTCCCAGCACAATACAAATTAGAAATAGCAAGTGCCAAAGGCACTCCCAAGATTGAAAAATACTGCAAAAAAGCACATGTATTTCTTAACAAATATATTATTAGTCTGGGGTCATTATTTATGAAGGCAAATACCGTAAAACGCCATGAGAGGCCAGAACAGCTATAATTTTTTTTTAACTGATGTTAACTAGACCTATTATGATCATTTCACAATGAATACAAATATTAAACCATCATGCTGTATACCTGAAACTAATATAATGTTATATGTCAATTACACCTCAATAAAAAAATATAAATATATTCATATAACTCATATTTACATATATATGATAATTTATTTTTATTTCATGAAAAATTATCACCAAATAAGAATATTTTGCAGTGAAAAAATATGCTAGTGAATACGGTTGTTATGCTATTTTTATTTTTTATTTTTTATTTTTTTGCGGTACGCAGCCCTCTCACTGTTGTGGCCTCTCCCGTTGCGGAGCACAGGCTCCAGACGCGCAGGCTCAGCGGCCATGGCTCACGGGCCCAGCTGTTCCACGGCATGTAGGATCTTCCCGGACCGGGGCACGAACCCGTGTCCCCTGCATCGGCGGGCGGACTCTCAACCACTGCACCACCAGGGAAGCCCTGTTATTTTTATTGTTCAATGAGTCAACATTTTAAAATTGGCAAGTTTCACACAGAAATAAAAATCCTTGCTCACATAGTCAAGGGGAACAAGACCTGGCAGCCCCCGGCTAGATTTCTGTGCAGCAACCGTCTTCAGGAGCTGACACCGGCTGCTTCTTGAATGAACATGTACAAACTGCCCGGCAGGGTAGTCCCCACCACACCCAGCATCCGTGTCACTGTAACCCATTGTCCGTTGTCATTTATTATTATCTTCCAGTAGAGAATTTCTTCTACATGCATGTCCCCAAAATGGGAATATGAAATATAACCTAAGGTAGCTTCATATTTCAAGAAAAACAGGTGAGGCTGTATTTCTTTGTAGATGTGACAATTTCTGCACTCCTTTACATTATCTGCATAACCTTCCTACACAGCTGAATTTGCAACCCTTGGGAAAGTAGTTTATTTCTCGGTGATGACAAAGAGACACCGATAGCTTGGTGCTTTTGACTTCCTTCTTTTTCTACTCCAGGATCTCATCTTCAAAAGCAAAGCAGCTAGTCTAAAGATTCCAGCTTTGTCAGAATTATTTGCCCTCAGGATTTTTGAAGATTTAATGAAAGATGTTGAACAGTATTTCTGTGCTGTTAGCAAATGTGCAGTTATGGTCCATTCATTGCCTAGTGTCCCGTATGATGGCACATTCCGCAAAATATTGCTTGGATTTACTTGTAGGAAAAAGTTTGTCTCTGCATATGAAAATATTTGCTCTATTTGGTCAGAAAATAGAAATCATGTAATCCAACATATTTCCCTTGTTTTCTTAGCTTCTTGGACCAAGATAAGGAAAAAAAATAAAAATAACTTTGCTATCTAGCCTGCGAAAATATATTTCCAAGGAGAGAATTTCTGAAGAGTATTCGTCACTGAGTACAAAATACTGTATCTTCAGGGGTTTCAATAAGTTCTATTATTTGAAAGTATCTTCCTACACAAAACCTGAATGATTCAGTTTTCAATGTAAGCTCATTGAACTAGGGTCTTTCAGATGCCGGTTTACTAAAAAGCAGAGGGATAACCTGAAAAACACTGATATTTCTAGTTTACTACTTGTGTGAAGATACATACTTCCTTATCCCTATTCACTAGGGCAGACTGTATTTTCCAAAGATGGCTGTGCCAATATCTATCTCCATCCCACTTGCCTCCCACCATAGGTTGGCACTGTTCCCCTCCCCATCTTGTATCCATGCAGGGACTTGTGGTGTCTCCTACCTATGGAGTGTGGTGGAGGTGATATTTCTGTGACTTTTGATGATAGGTAACAAAAGGTGACACAGCTTTCACCCAGCACTCTCTCTGTCTCTCTGGATATATGTCTGGGGACTCCTGAGCCAGCAGGTAAAAAGTCCAGCTCCCCTAAAGCTGTCATGCTGAAGGGATCATGTGAAGAATCTACTTAGAGATACAGAGAGCCGCTCCAACTCCCAGCTGGTCCAGCCTTTCCAGACCAGGTACCAGACATGAACATGGAAGCTGCTGTGATGACATCAGCTCCAGCCACTACCTGGCTACAGTCTCAAGAGTGATCCCAAGCCAGAACTACACACCCAACTCCAATTCCTAACCCACAGAAACAGCCAGAGAAAATAAATAATTAGTATTGCTTTGAGCCACTGTGTTTTGGGATGATCGGTTACATAGCCATAAAAAACTAAGACCCAACCACCGGAAAAACGCACATCCTGTTCCACAGCTTACCTCATTGATTTCAGTCCCATCGGCGTTGTTATATACAATCCGATAACCACTGATCTTTCTTGAAGTTGGGTCCCAGGCTAACCGAGCACTGTTAGAGCCAACACTGGAGATTCTCAGGTTTCTGGGTGGACTTAAGGGCACTTTGCAGTAAACGAAAAATAAACGTTTTCTGGAGTTCAGTGCAGTAAAGGGCACTTTGCAGTAAACGCAATTTTAAATAACATTCATGTAAAAAAGACTCCCAAAACACAGCACCTCTGACTTCTGAACTACTTACATATGAAAAATTTCACCCAGATAATAACTGATAACAAAGAACATTAACACATCAACAGAGAAAAAAAGTTTTCCTTGTAGAGAATGAATAGCAGCAAACAATTACACATTCTTAGAAATAAATGAGGTTTAGGTAAATCTTCTGTGCCTTTCTTTTCTAGTCAAAGCTATTATTATAGGCTGATACAAATTAAAAAACTAATGGATCAAAAACCAGGACACCTGAAATTAGATCTTAGCTGTTGCATTCAACTATCATCGGATCCTGGCAAAGTCACTCTACTCCTCTGATCCACAGTTTCCCATACGTGAAATGGTTTCCCATCTGCCATCTCCACATGAGTATCTATTAGGCATTTCCACCTTAACATGTGGAACCCGAACCACTGACTCCTGCCACCTCTCCTAGTCTTCTCTCTCAGTCTCTTTCTCTGAACAAATGAAAACTCATGCCTCCCATTGCTCAGGCCAAAAACCTTGGAGTCATCCAAGATTCAGGTTTCTGAACATGTGTCCCCTTCTCAGTGAAGCTTTCCATGATCACCTTATGTAAAATAATCCTTCCACCTCAATACTACCTAACTCCCTTCCCGGATTCTTCTTTTTTTTTTATTGCACATTTATTGGTCTCTTGTCTCTCTCTTCAGATATACTGTAATCTCAGGGGATTGCAGAATTTGGTTTAATTTTGTTCCCCTCTTTATCCCCAGTATTGCAAGTTCTCAATAAATATTTCTTGAATCAACGAGTAGGAGTCTTGCCCTGGATACCTCCCGCTGGCTTTGGGAGACTAGATAAAAATAAACACTTTGCTGTGGCTTTAAAAGTATTTAAAGAGGTGTTAATATTTCTGCAGATTCCTGACTACCAGTTCCAAAGATTTTTGCACTGCTTAAAGGATCCCTTTCTGAGTCAACAGATAAAATTTGTCAATAATCTTTGAGGGCTTCGTGAGCTTTTACAGGTTTACAGTAAAAAACAATTGTTAAGATTGACTGCAGGCTTTCTATGAGCCTGAGATGTAACACGTTATCTCATTAAATCCTTACTTTAGACAGCAAGGATAGGCTTACAATTAGCCCCATTATACAGATCATGAAACTGAGGTAACTTGGCCAAGGTCACAGTTAGTAGAAGCAGAAGAGCAGTTTGAATTTAACCCAGGCAATTGATCAATTGATTTGAGAGCCTGTGCCGATAGAACCAGCAGAATAACAACCTAGGAAATAAATCATGACAATTGTCAGCTGTAGCCATAAGCATGATGTTTCCTCACCCCAAAAGCTAACCCTTTCATTAATTCAATATGTACCGATTATATGGTAATAAAGAACCTATAGGACTTGGTGACTCTCTACACTTAAAGGGCTAGAAAGTGTAGGAGAGAGAAAAGCAATGTAATTACTTTTAGTGCTGTGCACACTTAGCTCTAAATTTTTCTGGAGTTCAGTTACTCTTGGCAGTATAGTGGAACAATGTCTAGTTTCCTCAGTGCATAAAAGTGTCAGTCTCAGGAACAGGTAGCCAGGATATCATTTTTAGGACTTTTTAAAAAATCAACTACTAATGGGAGTCATGGACACTTTTTAAAACTACAAGTATCTGCTTTTTGAAAGTTCAATTTAGGCCTCTTTGCTCTTGCAAAGGACCAACATTAGTACCTAACTCAAGGTTTCACTGACTGAAAGAAATCTAAAGAGGATTTTTGCTTTCATAAAAAAAGGCAAAAGCAAAAATAGCATTCAGGCTTTGCTTTGCAGCAAACCATCATGGAGACAGCGTGCACCTCAGGCAGCAAGAGCGGCCCTGCCAAGCTCCTTCCCCTGGAAACTACACTCAGCATCTCAGCATCAAGCCGCCACAGCTTTGAACTCTGTCTGTGAGCATCTGTGCTTTATCTTGATTTATTTTGTGCATCCATTAGCAAGATGTGTCCTAAAATTAATTGCTTCTTTGCTTTATGTCATTCAGTTTGCGAACGGTTTCATGGGAACACTACTTTCAAAGAGTAGGGGAAACCTGAATGAACAAATGAGTATTCTGAGTGAAACAGAGAGATGGGTGGTTGGGAAAAGTTTTCCTTCCAAATCTACAGAGTCCCAAAATTGACTTAAGTGATATATTAGATGCTTTCTGACTTATTTCTTTTCTCCTTCTTTCTTGGGCTCTCCCAGTTTTGTGGTTTGTTGTTTTAATTACACCGGTCTTCCTCTGAAGAGCAAGACAACATAGCCTCGACTAACAGAGAATGGATGTGGGAGAAAATTTCCTTATCATTAAATTTCTTTGTATGTTTCTCAAGTAGAATCTTCAAGACAAAAGCACAGTAGAAATCGTGCTATTCACCTCCTTCCAGGCTCAGAGTGACGTGAGAGACCTCATCTCCTTGCCCTTTCTTATTCAAAACACAATGAATAGACCCCTATTTTTAATCGTAGGTGACAAAACATTGTTAGTTTGGCAGGGTAGCATTTTCTCTATATCACATTTTCAAATAGATAACTACAACTCTTAAAAATATTATGAACTGCCTACATTTACCCAAATTAGACTTGCCAATACAATTTTTACTCAACTTTAAAAAACTAATTATAATAATAATAGTCTAAGATCAGGAGGACATCAAAGATTTTCAGAAAAAGTGTGAATTTTGGTAAGAGTGGGAGTAAAAAAAAATATTGAGTAACTGTGTGCTAATAACTTTCATTTGTATTACTGTATTTAATCTTCTATCAACCACGTGCTATAAGGTTATTGTTCCTCCTTTCATAGGCTCAATAATGCTCCATCACTTGCCCATTGTCACCCACCCAAAATATGACTTTAGCTGGGATTCACATCTTGGCTGCTCTGATTCCAAAGCCCATATTTTACCCCCATATTCTGCTCTAGCACTTGGATTTAGACAAGGACACTGGCATCATCTAGAGGATGCCACCGTTCAGTTCTAGAATCCATGTGACTCAATAACAACAAGACGAGAAGAAATACACTTCCTTCCCCTAAATAAATTAGACATTTTCTTACGTTACAATTAGCTCTTACGAGGTTTCAACCTAAACCAGTATTTCTAATTCAGAATCCCCATATTTGTTTGGGCTTTTATTACAGCATTTCATCTGACTGACTGAACCACTCACATGTTGTTTCTTGTCCTGTAACAGGGTCGCTGGCCTCTTCTCCAAACATAGCATAAACTGTGACTGTGTATTCCGTATTGGGCAACAACGCAGTCAGCTCAATATCCGTGTGGGTCTCTCCAATTTTCATCTGAAAACAACACACATTATCAGATCGTTTGCCAGTGTGTATTATTCATGCTGATCAGAGCACAGCTGAATACAGGTGAGACTTTATGTAATAAGACTCTGCCTCCTCACAAACCCTTCATCAAACAGGTTTCAAGCCATAATTTTTTTCATTGTCTCATGTTATTTTATATTAGAACCAGGAGCTATGAAACCATATAAAACTGAATGTACCATGAGCGCTCTTTTAGGATAACTCTTTACATCTGGACCAGTGGCAGCTGCAGCCAGAGTAACAGTGTCAAATATTTGGTCCCCAGAAGAGCATGGGTGGAGATGAATCAGAAATGTTCTCTACAAAGAGAGTAAGTTCCAGGCAGCATGCTGAGAGTGGGATGCCAAGTGGTCATCTTTCACCCCTTGGCTAATTCTCACCAGTCCTCTGATGGGATGCCCAGTTTTTGCTGCAAAGCCTATGGAGCCAGACCAGTGTGGCCCCATTCAACAGAGGGGCTTGTCCACTTGGATTGCAAGTCTCTTCCAGGAGTCCAAAGAGATCAACCCACCTTGATGCTCAAATTGGCAATTTGCTTCTTGATTTGGGGATGATTTTTCTGACCCTGGGGGTCAGTCAAGCTAGACAACATTATCAGTGTGTGGCAACTGTGTGACACCTGTGTGACAGGAATGGTTTTATTTTTGTTTTGGAAAGAGGAAAAATATCTTCATAGACTGTCCCCTGTCATACAACTGGCAGTGGTATGGTCAAATTAAAATATTTAATTTTGAAATATCTCAGTGTATATAATATAAAGGTAGAGAAAACAAAGTAATATTCCCTGATGCACCCACTACCCAAATTTAATAAATATCAACATTTTGTTATATGCACATCAGATCTTATTCTAAAAAGCACTACACAGTCAAATAAAACAAACTCTTTCTCACCACCTCTACCCTAATGTTGAAGTGTATCTCATTGATACATTTTTTTACTTCTGCATACATACAAATATATCTATAAGCAATATATGGTTCAGTATGTTTAACAACGTGCATAAATGGACCATTCAGTGTAATATTTTTACGGTTTTTTCCCTGGCAATATTAGGTTTCAAGATTTAGCCATGTTGAAACACAGGGACAGAGCTCATATTATTTAATTCCCTTATGAGATTCTTTTGTATAAATATGCCATTATTTTCCATTCTGTTGATGAACATGGCAGTTGTTTGCAATATTTTGTTCTGACCAAGTACCTGCATTGAAAGGTCCTTGAAGGATGTTTCTCTACGATATATACGTAAAAATTTGTATATATCTTTAACTTGATGAAATATTTCAAATTATTCTCCAAGGCAGCTGTACCAATTGACACACCAGTTTACATGAATGTTTCTGTCTCCCCACATGCTCACTAATATGTAGCATTATTAGACTTTAAAAACTTTGCTAATCTATTGGGTGTGAACTGGTATTCCTGTCTTTTTTATTTTTCTCTTTCCTGGTGAAGCTTAGTGCCTTTTTAGCATCATTTTAAAGTTTCCCTTCCACCAAAATAATTCAGATCGACATTAAATCCAAGTGGGCAAAAACTGTCTAAGCCTTGGTAATAAAAGAACACATGTCACCAATATTCTGTTCTTGACACTAGAATCACCATATTATTGGCCCTAAAGATTCTTGTCAAAAGAGGCAGGTTTTAGGTAATGTTAAAGGGTCGAGTGCTATACTCCCTCTCATAACCCCTCCACCTGCCTGGTCAACACTCCCAACGGTCATAGACATCTCTGCTTTATTCCTTGAATATCCATATTGTAATCATTGTTAACTATAAATTAAAAAGAAGGACTAAAATAAATGATTTGAAAGTCAAAGATTCATCATTTAAAATGGAAAAAATGCAAAAAAATTCACATCCATGAGATACATTTATCTACCTCTCAAATTAGTAAAACAAATTTTTCAGTCAGTGTACATAGGGTCATCACAGTCATTTGTGATCTGCATAGAGCAAGTGTATAAAATTTCTCTACAGTAAGGTGGTAATACCTAGTATAAGCCTTAATAATTTTCATACTCTTTGAAAAAGAAACTTCACTTCTAGGAATTTATCCTAAGGAAATAATCAGATAACCATGCAAAGTTATATGTTAAGAATAGTCCCAAAAGTATACCTATATAGCAAATTATCTCTTTTTTTTGGCCGAGCCCCTGTGCGGCTTGCAGTATCTTAGTTCCCCGACCGGGCACTGGCAGTGAAAGTGTGAGTCCTATAACCACTAGACTGCCAGGGAATTCCCCTATATAGCAAATTATCCAAATGTCCAATAGCATGAGATTAATTAAACATGACCTGGCACAAACCAACAATGGAATATTATAAAGTTGTTTAAATGACTATATAAAATATTATTTAATGGTATGGAAAGATATTCACAGTAAGCAAAAGGAAAACTACAAGGAAAACTACAAAGCCATTCCCATTGGTTGTGTTTAAAATGCACCGGAAAAGACTCTTAACTAAATGATAACAATGGCTACCTCTAGGTGGTGGGATTACAAGTGATTTTTTTCTTTTGCTAATGTAACTTTTATAAATTTTGTACATTTTTGTAGTAAAAACAAATCAAACTATGTTAAGGAAGTCAAAAATTCTAGGACTCTGGTAGGCAGCATGCATTACCTCTTTTTCATCCCCAGCCAGGCCTTCCGTGAGAGGAGCGTAAAGGATCAGGTACCCTGACGCTCCAGCCACTGGGTTCCATCTCGCCCTCAGACTGTTCTCAGTCACATCGTACAGTTCAAGGTCAGAAACTATAGGTAAAGAAACTGCAAGAGGAGTTTTTTTTTTTAATGGTCAGCCATTTATCAGTGTGCTTGCTTATTTCAAGGTATCTATCTATAAGTTAGGGTCTAAAACTAAACATATTTTTCAGGTAATTTTTGGCCTTGAATCTGTTCACATGACCATATAAGCCCCTTTGGGGAAGGTAAACATAATGAATGTTTAAGAGCAGGAA